GCAGATATTTTGGACCAGTATGAAATGAACATGGCTGATGGAAATATAACACCTGACGTTCTAGAACATTTATCTCAAAGAACTACACAGAACCATAGAGATGGTATATTTGGTGAAGAGTTTAGAAAGAAAGTTAGGGAGAGCGAAGGAAGAGAACCTATTGTACATGACCTTGCAAACGAAAGTTTACAAAATGTCATAAAAACTTACTTTGCAGACAATGAACTGAGAAGGGATGAATATTTAAGAAAACTCAAATGGACAGTACCAGATGAAATGTTAGTATTGAAAACATGTTCCTTGACAAAATAAAACCAACTACAGAAATAAACGACGCAAGACTGAAAGATTGGGTAGAAGCTTTCCCATTCACAAAAGATATAGTTGGTAACATGGAAAGAAAACCAGAATGGCTACAAAAAATATATTTGGAAACGAGCATATTCCATATGGACAGGCACTGTTTGAAGAGCTTGAACCGGAAACTCAGGAAAGAGTCATGCAAACAATACGCGAAGACTCAAATACAGACTATGACAAACTCTTTCTAGGATATAGGTTACCTGAGATGGGCGACCAGAGCCAAAAGGCAAAAAGGACATGGGAAATTTGCAACATACTAGATGAACATAATGCAAAGATGCAACAACTTCAAGCAGAGGGCAATGAAGGAAAAAGAAGAGTTAAAAACTCAGTCAGGAAGAAAGTAAAGCTTGGTCCACGTGGGTTCTATTATGACATATAAATCCAACTATTCTATATTTTACTCATATGAAATGTACGCCGCTCAGAATATAACGCCAACAGTTTTGGATGCTATGAATGGAAATGTTTCCGAATGGTATAACGAATGCGACAATGCCATTAGAAGGTCAGAAATAGTTCCTGGAACTTACGAATATACAACTGCTGTTTCTTATGGAAACGTAGGTGAGTTTGGAGAAGGTTCTTCAACAACAGTAGATATTGCATGCGACAGGTTTCATATTATTTCTATTGACAACTCATTCTTATACGTGGAACAAGACATTGAAATAAAACCTTCTGCCAAGTTGTCTGACAAGAAAGGTTGCAATGGAATTTTCTATGTCGGATACCAATATGCTCCAGAAGTTTTCATGGGATATAAGATATATTCTAACTCTGACTTAGTTCAAACAGTAACATGGGCAAACTATGAATGGTTCGCTTTGAGAAACTCAGTACAACCACAAGCTAGAGAACAAACAGACCAGTATGCAACTATTGAGAAAATAAGAAGACTTGACCCTAACGTTCCAGGTGTTTATGTTGACCTTTCTGGACAAAATGCAGCAGCAGTAACCAAAGTAAAATTGAAACTTAGAGTTCCTTTGTCATCTTTCCTCATCTTCAGGTTTTTAAGATACTTGCCAAACTGGGCAGGAAAAATTTCTATTGAACTTACTCCAAGCAAAAATAACTTAGTCATTGCACCAACACAAGACCCATTCACTCTTACAGACGTAAAGGGGGCGAATCAAACGTCATTCGCCGACTTTTGCAAAGACAAAGTTGACTTAGACTTTGGTTTCTCAAACTTCAACACTGAAGTAAACTATTATTTCAATGCTGCTGGAACTGCTTGGGACCCAGTTAAGTTTACATGCGAAAAGTTTGAATGCAAGAGAATAGAAAGCAGACTTGCAGTCTATATGTTGGACCCAGATATTTCAAATGCTTTAGCTGCCAAATATATTGCAGTTCCACTTATGTTCCCTATACACCAAATATCTGTCAAAGACTTTGCAGGTGAAGTTGGAAACCAAAGTGCTGACCCAGGTGCAAGAACAGATATTGCTTAACAACTGCAATGAAACATGCAGATACTATGTTTGTACTGTTCAGACGAACTATAAATGACTATTCTTGTTTCTACAACCCCGGTATTAAATATCATATAAACATAGATGGCAAATATTATCCAAGAGAAGAATATTCTACAGTTAGGATATGAGGTCATACAACTTGACATTAGATGCTATGAACTTTAACAACAACTTCACAACAACCATTAACCCTGAAATGCAAAGTTCTATTATGCCATATTGAAAGTATGGACCCATACAGGAGCTCAAAAAACTCAATATACAAATGGAGACCGTTCAAACTTTTGGCTTGCATTCCATTTGCTGACTCAGAAGACTTTATGGGTGGTATTTCAACTGTTGGTACAGTTCAAATACAATATACTGGTGACAGAGACGGTCCAGATGAATTGAAAGCAAAGAAGTTTACAAAACCAATAGCACTTTCACGGAAGATGCTCTTTTGAAGATTCGTTCGATGAAACCTGCTGGGGCTTCAGATTGTATAACGACAGCTTCCATCGAGCAGATTTTGGCAGCAGGTCAGTAAGTTGTTCTTGAACTGACTTCTCTCCGTCAAATATTGACAGTACGCCAGTTTTGACATAGTATTGTATTATAAACTTTCCTTTAGAAATATCTGTTAAGTTTTGAAGTATATTTTTGTTCTGCTTCAAGAACTTTCACCATTTCAGTTATACCAACTTTCTTTGCTTTATGAAAATATTTTGGTTCAGCAAAGACTGCTATTCTATAACATTTACCATTGTTTGTATAAAGAACTATTCTGTCAATGTATTTGTATTGTTTGTGTGTGTAAACTTTGTTCTGCTTCAATTCGAAGAGAACTCAAATACGTCCATCTTTTTATTCTAAGTAAAATGTCATTTCCGAAAAATAGAAGCGTAAGTGTTTCAAAAGGTTTAATGGCGGTGGCAGATGTGAAGTTAAATTCACCAACTCAAACAAACAGTCAAAGTTGTTGTTGTCAATGTCAAAGACAGAGATGTTGAAGTGGGGAAACCATACGAAGACGAAGATGGTATAGCAATTGTTCCTGTAAAAGAACAACCAACATACCCTGAAGTTAGCAGAGACTTAAGTTCTGTTGCAGATATTCGAAATGACTACCAACAACTTAAAGACAAACTTAAAACTCAGGAGAAGATTTGTCAGGCTTTGGGTATAATGTTAAACTTGGTTGAGCACAACCCTGTAAAAGTGAACTCATATGTCATTGCACCTCATGAAGTCTTGAAAGAACTATTGAAACTTTTGACAGAGGCAGACGATATAAACATCAAAGAAATAGAACCCGACATTGCTTGCTGTGGTGTTTCATATAATGTCATTGACAAGATATACGTTATGAAAGGAGGTGAAACGTTGAACTTAAAATATAGTTTCCCAGACGTCATAAAAATATTTGACGCCACAACATTTCATTAAATTTATTTGCTAAGTAAATGGCAGAAGATATAGTGGTTTATACTATTACGACTAAAAACCCTGAGTCATATAATTCTATAACAACAAACTTACAAAGTCCTCAAGGACGATATTGTAAACTGACCTTAAACACAATGACGACTAAAGCCTGTTTTGCTCTTTGACACCAGAAGACTTTGTTGTGTGAATGGTAAAAAATACTTCTTTGAAGATACTTACTCAGATATACCACCAACAGGTTTTGTTGACTTATTTAATACTTTAAGTACAGGTGTAACATGTGCTGCAACTAGAGCAGGTTTCATTATGTTTGGATGTCCGACTGAGTTTACTATTAATGATATGAGCTATAATACAAAACTTATATCTGGTTTTTACTACCAACAGTTTCCTATAACAGGAAAAGGTGTCATACAAGGAATGTCTATTCCATTGACTTTAAGCACACCTATTTTATATATTGTTTCAAACTTAGGTTCAAAGTGTTATTCGAATGTCGACAGAAACTATTATGACCAAAAGATACTCATGCGTATAAACAATACTTTCTCTGCTGGTTTGCCTATTGTTCATTCGAATGCAGAATTTTCAACCTTAGTGAACTCAAACACTTTGGCAAGTATAACGTTGACATAGTTGACGCAAACTTTGTTCCTGTAAAACTTTTATGTCCTATGTATTTGTCAATGACGGCAGAAAGTTTCGAATTGGAAGATGCAACTGGTGAAAGTATTGTACTACAAGAACAACTTCAACAACAAATAGCTCAAGAACAACAAATGCAACAAATGGAACAACAAAGTCAAGAATAAAAAAATATTATTTTTTTATTTTTATAAAAATGTACAGAATAGATGTTTCAGATTTTTATGACTTCCAAGCATTCAGAAATATGTGTCCATTTAGAGACTATAACAAAGCAGTCGAGAATTTGAAACGTTTAGTCATTTATGTCGACTCTGCCCCAGAATGTTATGTCATGAAAGAATGGGATGTTGTCTTTAACAAACCAAAGAGCAACAATAGTGTCTGAACAAGAATGTAGACAGAAACTTAAGAAAATAAAAGTCGTACAAGTTGGCATGAAGATGTTAGATGCTTGGATATCTTATTGTCAAAACTTGAAGATTTTTCAGTTCGAGGTATAAAGTTCTATACACCTTCTCCAAACTTCTATTCTATCTTCACTGGATATAAATACGAACAAGTAGAATGGAAAGAAAATATTATAGAAGCTTGGTTAGACCATGTCAAAGAAATTATATGCAATGGAAACGAAAGAGTCTATGAGTATATCTTATGTTGGTTTGCAAACATCTTACAACATCCAAGTGCTAAAAATGAAACTGCTCTCATTATAATTGGAAAACAAGGAACAGGTAAGAACACATTCTTTACAGATATTTTGTGCAAACTATTAGAAGGTTATTCGAATCCGAATATGACAAACTTAGAAAACATCTGTGGCAAGTTTAACTCCTCAATAGAGAATATGAAACTTATAGTATGTAACGAACTTCAAAGTATAGATACAACAAAAGTTTTGAACTCAGATGCTTTGAAGGTCTTATAACAGACAAAGTTGGAGTTGTTGAAAGAAAGTATAAAGACCAAAGAGTTTGTGAAAATGTTGCAAACTTCATTATGGTTTCAAACAATGCTGTTCCGATGAAGTTAGAAAGTTCTGACAGAAGATATGTAGTTGTCAGAACGTCAGATTCTCATATGCAAGATACAGAATATTTTGACGACTTAGCAGAAACTTTGACATCTGACTTTTACAACCACTTGTTCTCATATTTCATGACATTAGATATTTCTAAGTTCAATCCAAGACAAATTCCACATACCGAAGAAAGACAAACATTGTTAGAAGCAAACAAGAGTGTATATGAACTGTTCATAGATGAAACTGACTTTGTGTCATTAGATGAAAGGTCATTGTACGATTCGTATAAACAATATTGTCAAGAATATGGTTATATGGCAGCGTCTAAACGAACATTCTTGGCAAATGTCAAAAATCTTTTAGATGTTCAGAACGGCGTATATACAAAGAAAAATTTTTATGAGTAAATTTAAAAAAAATATTTTTTTTATCCGATAGAAAAGATGACGAAATATATTTCAGTCAACAAATATATGTCAGGACTTAAAGAAGAACTAGACCCATTCGCTTATTTGAATGTTTACTTCTACCATTTTGAAAAGTCTTCATTTGACAAAGTTTGGAACATCAACCAGTTAAGTTTGCTATTGTGACTAAAAATGGTGCGAAATTTGAAGACTTAGACATAGAAGGTTTGTTAGCAGTCAAAGAAAATTTTGACAGAAGGTTCTCAAACCTTAAAGAAGGCAAAGCATACAAACTTGTTATACCTTATGAACCAAAGAAAGCAGACGACTATGAATATTATGAGTCTAAGATAGTTGAAGTTCAAGGTAAATTGGGTAAAAAGATTTTAGAGTCTAAGCCAGTGTTTGCTCCTAAAGAGGAAGAGAACATTGACATTGACCCAGAAATGTTCTAAAAATAAAATTTTATTTTTACATGTCAAATTTCTTTTTCTCTGGAACTGGTTCAGGTCTTTCTTCTCTTCTACTTTCTTCTCTTCTTCTACTTTCTTCTTCTTTTCTCTCTTCTTCTTCTTTTCTGGTGAGTTATGTCAAATTTCTCAGAACCATATTATGTAAAAGTTCTTTGTCCTTTAATAGCTCTTCTATTCTGTTTTCTATTTCATCTTCAAGAACAGCGCATGTGTCTTCTTTGCATTCTAAGAACTTTTGTTGGACTTCATCTTTCCAATCGGCGTCATCTCTGTCAACAAGTCTGTCATTGACAAATTTTAAGACTGCTCTTTGTAATGTTTTATGGTTCTTGTCATATTCCCAGAAACAGAACTTTAGAACAAATTCACCTTTCTTGTTTACACTATGTAAGATTTTATGGTCGACAGAAGTTTTGCTGTCGAAAAGCTTGTCTCGAATATAGATAGCGAAATCGCTGACATTTTCAAAAAGATAAAAATTTTAATTTTCTAAAAATATGTTAGAAAAAAAAGTTTGCTGACATTGACAAGAAATTTGAGAATGTTTTTGAAGAAGAAACAAGAGGAAGTTAGAAAATGCTCAGATAAAGCCTATACATGACAAGTTCTTATTTGCTCAGAATGGTATAACAGGTCTAATCGCACCACCTGGGTCGGGTAAGACTTTCACTTATCTTAAAATGGCTGCACAACAACAAGAACTAGATGAGAAGAACCCATTCTATGAGTTAGTTGTTATTTGTAGTACTTCTGGTCAATTTGACCAAACCGTCAATTCGTTCAAAGATATTATAAAGAAGTCTAAGTTAGTATGTAATAAAGGATACTGAGTTGTTAGATTGGATAAAGAAGTACCAAAGAAGGGTTTTGAAGTACAATGCTATAAATGAGTATATAAATTCTAAGTTTAAAGACCCAAATGAGGAAATGCAGAGAATATTAGAGAAGAAACACTTCAGAAACAAACAGAAAGAGATAGAATACATTTTCGAAGAAATTGCAATCTTACGATTGGAAGACATACCCTCATAGATGTCTTCTTATCTTAGACGACTTTGCATCTCATCCTTTGTTAAAGAACAGAGAACAAGATATGTGTCGAATTCTTAAGAAGCTCAGACACTTTAACATCTCAGTCGTAATATGTGTACAGACAGCAAAGAGTTTAAGTAAGGATGTTAAAAGAATACTTACTGACATTATACTTTTCCCTGGATTGTCCGAAGACGATTTCATGGAACTTATGAAAAGAGTCCATGCAGGTAAGTTTGACAGACATGAACTATGGGAGAAGTACAAAGTCATACAAGACCCTCATACTTCTTTCAGAATTCATATCTACGCAAACAAAGTTCAAATTGTAAAAAGTCAAGCGTAAAAATGTAAGTGTTTAGTCTTAGTCTGTTGTGGTGCTGGGGCTGTCGGTTCTTCTGGCTTTGGAAGGCATTCAGGAAGAGGGACGTGAGACATTCGTTTGTGTCCTGTCGGATGGAAGGACTTTTCCTGTCGGAAGGAAGGACTTTTCCTGTCGGAAAGAAAAACTTTTCCTGTCGGAAGGAAGGACTTTTTCTGTCGTTCGACCAAAAAGTTCTCAATTTTCGAAAATTTGAATGGTTTACGGACGAACAACAGGAAATTTTTTTCCAGTTGTCAGGAAATTTTTTTCCAGTTGTCGGGAAATTTTTTTCTTGTTGGAAGGAAGGACTCGGAATGTTGGAAGGAAGGACTCGGAATGCCAGAAGGATTTGACAAGACAATTTACCTTATAGAGCTACCTGAGCCATCTGAAGTCAAGCTTGAAAAATAAATGGTTCATCTACTCTACTTGTTTGAAGTTGTCAAAATACTCTGTTATTTTTTCCTTTAACAATGGCAAATCTTCTTTGAAGTAAGAATTGTACAACCTTTCATATCATAGTGTGTTTGAGGTAAAGTATCTTGAACTATTTGTTTCACATCTTCATTCGGTGTCATTGAAATCGGTAAGTTTTCGCGATAGAACCAATTTCTGTCAGATTTGTAAATCTTAGCAAGGTCGTAAAAGCTTTTGTTGTTTCTTCTGACTAAATGCAACAATAACCATATCTTTATCTTCTTCATTTTCCATCTCTTCAGTATAAATCATATACTTATAGTTCTTTTCCTTTCCTTTTGGTACGAACGTGGTATTCTTTTCTGAATGCTTTTGTCTTTTGCTTCAAGCTTGTTTTCCATCTCTTCACGTTCTTGTCTGTGAAGTTCGTCAAGAAGTCTGTAAATATACCAAGCATAACGAGGCGAAGCCCACATTGCAACAGCATTTACAAGAAGTCTATGTACATAATATCCTCTCAAACCGTTTGGCAATTTTTCACGATTTTCATAGAGTTTTGGCGAGTGGGATTTTCCTCCCACTCGCTGTTCTTCACGATTTTCAGAAAAAAGTATGTCTCGCTGTGCTTCGCTCAAAAGTTCTTGTGTGCTTTGGTTCCTAAACCAGTCTTTAGGAACCTTAGTATCTGGTGCAAAACAAGCCGTCAAAATACTTTGCATTTGGTACATATCATCTTTGACTGAACGAATGAGACGGAGATGTTTGTTAAACTGTATGTACTCGTATTCTTCATTTATAGCTTCATGGACTATAACTGTTGTTGTGTTCTCTGTTGTTGACATATCTGTCTTTACATACAAAATAAAAAAATAAAAAAAATAAAATTAGCGTTATTTTCTATCTTGTATAAAAGACCAAAAATAAACGCTTTACATGTATTTTTCAGCAACTTCGTCAAATAATTTTATAGCTTTATCTATCTCATCTACTTCAAACGTTTCTTTACCTTTTATGGGAGCACCATACATTTTCTCAAACTTTTCAAGTAGTTCTGTTTCAGCAGCTCTCATATCATTAGCAAACACAACTTTGACTATATTGACTGTACTGTCATATCTTTGAGTTATATTATATGTTCTTCCTATCTTATATCTTTTTGTATTGAAGTCCTTCGGTTTCTGAACGATGTAAAGTAAGCCTTCACTGCAACGTTCCGTATCGAATGAACCATATGTTATGAAGTTATATCCAACAACTGGGTCTAACCATAACAAAACTATTGGTATAAGACTTTTGTCTATAAGATATGCTGTAGTTCCATAGAATCTTACCGATATCATAAGCTCAGGATTTCTTGTCAAAATTTTCTGAGTAGAAGCAATTTTAACCCAGTCGTTTGTTTTCTTTCCAGATGGAGATATAATGTCTGACAAAGAATATTTGTTGTATTTCTTTGAGTATCTTACGTTTAAATCACCTATTCTAACCAATTTAGTGTTATTGTCTATCTTTCTAACTGTTTCAAACTCAATGTTTAACATTTCTGTTCTTACATACAAAATAAAAAAATAAATAAAAATAAAACTAACTTTATTTTTTCTGTCTTAAGGAAATTCACGATTTTCATGAGTTTTGGCGACCCAGAAAAAAAAAACGGTCTCGCTGTGCTTCATGATTTTCATGTGTTTTAGGCAAGGCCGGTAAAATCCGGTCTAGAGAAATTTCACGATTTTCATACGGAATCTCTTCTCTCGGTTTTCCGAGGGAAGCAATCTTATGCCATTTTACTCAGATTTTTGGTCATTTTTCAGCAAAAATAATGTTTATGTTAGAATGTTAGATCTAACATGTTTTCTAACATGTTTTCTAACATGGTCTAAAACACACAAAACTCATGAAATTTCTCTAGACCGACTTTTACCGGTCTAGCCTAAAACTCATGAAAACAGTGAAGAACAGCGAGTAGTGAAAAAACCCTGGTCGCCAAAACTCTTTATTTTTCAAGCTTGACTTTTTACAATTTGAACTTTGTTTGCGTAGATATGAATTCTGAAAGAAGTATGAGGGTCTTGTATGACTTTGTACTTCTCCCATAGTTCATGTCTGTCAAACTTACCTGCCATGGACTCTTTCATAAGTTCCATGAAATCGTCTTCGGACAATCCAGGGAAAAGTATAATGTCAGTAAGTATTCTTTTAACATCCTTACTTAAACTCTTTGCTGTCTGTACACATATTACGACTGAGATGTTAAAGTGTCTGAGCTTCTTAAGAATTCGACACATGTCTTGTTCTCTGTTCTTTAACAAAGGATGAGAAGCAAAGTCATCTAAGATAAGAAGACATCTGTGAGGGTAAGTCTTCCAATCGTAAGATTGCAATTTCTTCGAAATGTATTCTATCTCTTTCTGTTTGTTTCTGAAGTGTTTCTTCTCTAATATTCTCTGCATTTCCTCATTTGGGTCTTTAAACTTAGAATTTATATACTCATTTATAGCATTGTACTTCAAAACCCTTCTTTGGTACTTCTTTATCCAATCTAACAACTCAGTATCCTTTATACATACTAACTTAGACTTCTTTATAATATCTTTGAACGAATTGACGGTTTGGTCAAATTGACCAGAAGTACTACAAATAACAACTAACTCATAGAATGGGTTCTTCTCATCTAGTTCTTGTTGTTGTGCAGCCATTTTAAGATAAGTGAAAGT